TTCCAGGTCACAAAACCGTGAATACATAAAAGCACGCACAGACACAACATACGCCTAGGCATAATCATACCCTTCGGAGTTCAAAACAACGATCGAATGTAGTAAAATATCTCCAGGTCAGATCGCTGTTGTTGCTGCTAATCAGTGCGAATTAAAATGCAATGCCAAATAACAGGGCTTTCGTATGAATTCGAGCCCATCGAACTTGATTCACGCTTCCGTAATCCGCGCGCGCGTGTGTAAGGTCAGATTGGGGCAAAATGCGAATAGGTGTATTTTACCGCGGGCGAGGAAAGAGCGAGAGAGAGGCAGAGAGAGAGAAAAGCACGAGAAGTCACTACGCTCGTTGCATTCGGCCTTTTGTTTTACTTTTTTGAGAGTCTGATAACTTAAACTGATCACAAACCCCGTTTGACCTTACCTTCTAGTTGCCACCCCCTGTATTCCTCGTCCCGATTTCCACATCGCCTTAAGCCAATCCTTTTTTTCGGAATTCACATAAGTAACAATAAATCGGAATGAGAATAAAACTTAGGTCTATCATAATTTTTGTCAGTGGTGTCCCAATACGAGAAATTTTTCACCGAAAATCTAGGAAACACGTTCACATTGATTACGTCTACAAATGAAACTGTATCGATGCAGTAAAACTTCTGAAAATCCCCTGTTAACCATAGGTCAAGGACACAATCTTCATAATCCTCTCGGGAACAAACAATCGTAATCACTCAGCATATTCATTCACCCACATACGCACACCTGTTCGTTTTAATCTTATGTGAAACCTTTATACCATCGGTGAAGATTTCAGTTTTGGCCACAGCACAGAAAAGGATACCAACCTAATCTGAACTATTTGGAATAAAATTGAACTTTCATCACTCTTTGGAATCAGGTCGAATTGTGATCAGGGAGATCAGCTGGTTGACTGACTGAAGTGAATCAAATTGAGCAGACTGATGGGGATGAAAACGCGTGCTGCTGGCAGAAAACGACCTTCGGGACAACCAAAACAGACGACCGCCGTAACCGATGGAGCACAACAATTTTTCATCGATACCGTAAGTTTATCTCGCGTCTGATCTGTCCTCTACTGCTCTACTCCAGCATGAACAATTCGTCTCAACCAAAAAACAGTCTTGCGATAATTTGGATTTGCCAACATATATTCGGCGGGAGCTTGCGTTGCATGAAGTTCACGATCTGAGATACATATTCAATGCCCTGGATACCGAACAAAATGAGTAGGTCTATGATTCACCTTCTTGTTCGATCGTCGCCGCTCTCTGTTTATCTGTGTAACTCATTAACAGATACATCACTGTTTATGATATCAAAATGGCTTTGTTTGCTCTCGGATTCACACCAGAGAACTCAGGAATGAATGAACTTCTCCAAAGCATCAATCCACCGGAAGGGTAAGTCTCGCAAACATTGCCAGTCTAACACATTCGAACACCTTTTACCTTTTCTGCAGACGTTATTCGCTCATAAATTTCCTGGAAATGGTTGTCGCATTGCAAGATAGTGGAAACGATAAACTGGGAATGATCACGGATGCGTTCCGATACTTTGACCCAGGTGAGTGTACAAAATTGTGTACCATTTGACACCAGCTGAAAGAATCCACAGGGAAAATTTCCTTGGCAACCCTGGAGAAATTGACTGTACAAGTTGGAATTAATTTACGAAACGATGATTTGGTGGACATGATCGAAGTTGCCGATCGAAACGGAGATGGTTACGTAGATTTGTCGGAATTTACCGAGCTCATGTTGGGTACAAATCTATTTGCCTGAACAATATTGCGTATAAAATAAAAAATTAGCTGCTCGTTCTCGGTTTTTTTCGCATATTTGTTCTCTGTGAAACGTTTTTGTAACTTCATGCTCGAAACGAGCTAATCAAACAGCAAGCAAATGAAAATTCCGTCAAGGAGTCAGCAGGCTCCCTGAAAACTGATGTGTTCTTGGACAACCAATCAGAACAAACATAGGCTAACTGAGGTGATTAGCGGTAACCACGAGCCAATTAAGACGGTTGACAGAAATTCAGTAAAACAATCGTTTGATACATGCACTCTCTTTTTCCCATAAATAAGCATGTTTTTGTACAATGATTGAATCCCGGCACGTTTTCAGATATATTTTACTTAAATATCTGTGGAGTTTCTATCTGAACGAGAAACGTTACTCAAAGACCGTACTTTTGGGAATCCCTCATTAGGAAGACCTTGTGTGGCTACAACAAATTCTATAAAACAATGTTCTCAAAATCAATGAGCATTCATTGGTTTGCATTGTTGAAGTGAATTACATGAACAGAGGAAAGAAAACGGTCATCACGAATAACTTGAAGTAATTATAAAATGAAGGGACCCAACCAGGTCGAAACAGCTGTCCAGTGCTTCCTAGCTTTTCAGTTCACGCTTCATTTGCCATATACACGACGATATCCCAAAATGAAGGGATGTTGAATTCCTGCGCATCGAAGGCAGCTAAATTGGAAGCTCAGTCGTTTAACTTTTGCCCTCTAGATTTAATCGGGATTTAACCAAAATCCTCTTCTTTCGATATCTGAACAGTTATGTCCATCGTTAATTAATCGCGCACAGCTCAACTGATAGTCTCAATCAGTTGCTTAACCAATCCTCGAATGGCAACCACAGATTCCTCGAGAATTTGATCAGATATTACAAATTGCCAATGAAATACCAAATCGGCCATTGTTGATTCCTTTCGATTATTAGGTAACAGTACTTTTCGCCCTAACCCTTATATCAAATGTTGGCGGTTATTTTTTTCCGGCCCGATTGCGAGATTTGACTTCATGCTTTTACTACTTTTCTTTTGTTAGTACTTTTTATTCATAACCGTTTCTGAGCTATTTATGTTCACCTGCGCACAAAACAATTGTGTCTTCACTGAACCAACAGAGGCCAGTGCACATACTTGGGCTTAAACCACCGACTCAATCATCGGTTGTTCGATACTCTACATGCTTCCCATAGATTGCTCCTATCATCCAGATTCTCGTTTGCGTACTTTATCAGTTGCACACCTTTCTTGCGTTTTCTTTTGTCAATCATCCCGAGGTGATCAACAATAAGCACGAACGCGCTCATTTCGGTTGTCCAATGCCACTTTGGTAATTTGCGCCCTTCTGTTACCTCTGTCTACCTTTCACCTGTTCTATGTGCTGCATTGGACCAGTCATCTTTCATAGTTCAACCTCGCACTTAAACCTCAGTCCATCCAGTCAACTGAGCAAGCACCTGACTTTGTAATGCAATTAGTAGATAATCAACTATATCTCCACTCGTAACTGTAGGGTCCAATGAACTGACTGGCATCCAACATGATATCTGATTAATCGTGCACTGGTACTTCCAATCAGTCCAGATGTGGGGTGATTGATACAGCGGTAACACGTACACTATCCATGCGATGTTTACAGAGTCCAAATCCCCGGTGGAGTGAAGGGTTGCACTATTGATGTGCTTTTATGAGAGGGAAAATTGAGTTTAGTGCTTCTTGGGTGTGTGTGATTGAATGGTTGATTTGAGTGCAATGCTCAAAGGTGAACTCTGAAGAATAGTTGTTCCCGATCAATAACCCCCCATCCCCACACTAATCCACATAACTACCCGTGGGTGAAATATTATGTACATATCAAGTACTTCAGTAATGAATATTCATATATCTCGGTCCTACCAAACACATCTGCTTTAAGAAAATTTATCGTACGGTTTGTTTGAAACTATGTTCATGAGGGCATAAATAGGACAAGCTACGACTGATTCACTTCTGCCTGATGCTCACAAAATTTTCACAACTGCTACTGCTTCTCCACTGTTTTCGAACTGAGTAGAAGTATTTGCAACTACCTGACAGCTGTTTACTAATGACTGTAACTAGGTCGCTGAATTCGGTTTATTTTCGCCAAATTGCACTAATTTTACCAAGTCTCTATGGTTGTTCACGATTCTTCCCCTGGTTTGTATTTTCGCATCAATTTGCCAAACTATGTTGGTAAAATGTTATCCTGCGTTCCAACTGTTTCGAAAACTCGGTGTATTTTAGTGCCTGACATCCAAATTTCTCATTTTCCGATTCTGCATGGAATCACTACCAACGGTTGAGAAATAACAGACAAGTTCATCATGCTCATCATCATCGTGTTGACTGGTGTATCGCGCTGAAGCAACGTTCCATTAACGGGATGACAATTCCTTCTATTTTTTAAGTAACTCTCTCATTCATGACGCAAATCGATAATGTCCGAAATGTGGTGTAGCACAACGAGGCAAAAATGTCGAAACCATTGGACTCCAGGAAAATTTGTTACATCCATAAATTGAGGAGGATGTTGGTTGGAGCTGACGGATTGGACATCTGCATGAAAGATCGTATCGTGAATTTTCCTGCCTTCTTCAACCGGATTTGTTGTACCAGTGCATACGTTAGGTTTCCGTTTCTCAGCTAGAAACGTTGATTGTACTTTTGATCGGTTTAAATCCCGCTTCCTCGCTCACTCAGTATGTTCCGATTTAACCATTTTGGGATCACATGCGACGCCCCTAATGTATCCACTCTGATATAACATACTTCGCTGTCAACCAATCAGAACAGTTTGTCAACTGCATAGAGCAGCCCTTGGTGTGCTTTGCCGCAGGCACGCTCAGTCGCTTTGACGCATCCTTCCGAACTGCCTTAAGTTGCGTAAACCCTAAAAATTATCCCACTCAAATTAACGCTGAGGTCGATTGTATGTACGTAAATAATCCTAATTTATTTCATATTCCTAAATGCGCTCTTGCGAGCACTTGAGACCACTGTACGATGTGTATTTTTTCGACAAGTAAATCAAAAATAAGTGATTAGCGACACTTTCGACCCTCATTCCGAACCCCAGAGAGAGTTTTTCCCTAGAGAACTTAACCAGGCTTAGAAAACTGGTTTCTCCGCCCAAATTCCCTGTGTTCACCAATAGTCATTTCACTTCATCAGGTGCACATTTGACCGATTATCTTAATTTCTACTGTGGCTATTGTCACCCGGTCGAAATTATCTATATTCTTTCTGAATTCTTTCTACGTTTTCCTCTCACGTCCCCAAGAGATGGTTTATATGATTGGTAAGCGTAACAATGTAAAACGGCTATATGTTTGATTTAAACCGAAGTTAAAAGCTTGAATGTAATGCACTTTGGGATTTTCTTCGGTAAAAGATGTGGCCTACCTTGCGGCGTCTCCGTGTCCCACGGGACGTCTATTTTTCACCGTTGAAGAATTAAATTGTCAATTCACCGAAGCATCTGGATCAAGCTCCCTCCAACTTTCTTTCCAAATCTTGATTCTTTAGAGTCTTCAGGGGGCTCCAAACCGACACAGCTCACCGAGCCGATGTATTGACACTGCCCATTAAAATCGTACCGTGAGTAACTTGTAGTACATGTTGTTAAATTTTTTGACCTATGTTGGTTGTCCCAAACTATCTCCAAATGTTGAAGGATACCTCTGATAAAACCAATCTCTTGTAAAGTCTAGGCGGATGCAGCCCCATTGACTTCACCTTTCTGCTACTGTAAGCTTTTGTTGCACTGCATAACTCACATGTGAGGGAAAGGGTCCGATTGGTAAGGTCTTCGAAATAACCACACATCACTAGTCTGAACAATATCCGCTCTTTTCAAGATAGTCTTGATCAACTTCACGATTCGTTTTGCCCCGATCCCTTGAATCGATGTTTTCTTCCGTCTCAAACCAAAAAAACCACTATTTTAGATTGTTACGTAGTCTCCCTGATCTTTGTTTCGATCGTTGAAGCATTCCCAAAGCTGAGTCTATCAAATCCGTTTTATATTCACATTCTTATCTAAACCGACGCTAATTGATAAGTAACCTCAAAAACCAAGTCCAAATATTCTCGAAGCTTATTTTACTCCAAACACTAGCGAATAACAATGTGATACTGGAATTTAAACGTAATAACTGCATAAACAACACACCTTAAATCGTCCCATTTTCCAGTGGATGTCTGAACAATAGCAATCTAGAACGAATCGTGCAAACCACGTCTTCAAGCACAGGGGTTGGTATAACGCAGAGGTAGGACAGAGGACCAGTCTAGATGAGATCAACCAAATAGCCAACCAGAGCGCAGAGTGAATTACTCTATATTAGGGTCAGGAACAGTGGTCACGAGCTGGATTGAGAGTACCCGAGTTTGGTAAGTAAAAAAATTAATGGGATAGTTAGCAGTGAACGGTTAGTTCGGGCACCGAATGTCAGGTGATAATGTGTCCGGTCCAAACAGTGTCAGATGACAAATAGGTGGCTGGAAAAATGTCTTCAATGAAGCACATGTAGAGCTACAGTTAGATTCAACACCCTTGATGCGATTCACACATATTCTATCCAGTTCTACTCACGCTTGCACGAAAGTTCCAAATACTGTCCTTTTTTTGTATAAAAGCTCAGAAAAAATAAACAATCTCCATAAACCTCATTGTGAAGTTTATGTTAGCCCGTATTTTCACCACTNATACTGTCCCCATATATAAAGGAGATTTCGCATTGTTTCCAAAGTCCGTGAAACTTTGTTTTTAATAACATATTGGCATCTAAAGAACTGCTTTGGGAGAGTTTTATTTTCAAGCATTTCGACGAAGGTGATAAGTTTGTGGATGAGATAAATGAATAGTAGTGTCTACATTAGAAAACTATGAAAGCTGCGTTGAATTCACAAACAGGCTTCTCTCCTTACGCCCCTCCAGAAACAGAGACAGTATGATTCTG